ATGTTTACAGTATAAATCGGAAGAGGTTGTAAGTGTGATCTTAACCTGTCAGAGGAGACACCTGAGAAATAGTGCAGATGGCTTTGTATCTTTTAAACTTGGAGGGACAGGTTATGAATAGTGAAATATCATGTTTACTAAGCCAGTGCTTTGCTAAATCTACATCTTCAAGAGATGGCTTGAGATGGCAATTGTCTTTCTGAGTATGGCTTTACATCTCAATGGTATGAAAAGCATCTGAGAAAATGTAGCAATACTTAATAAAGTTAACAGGGAAAGGTCAGCTGAACACTATTTGTTGTAGCAGTGTATAAACCTCCTGGTAACATCTGTTCCCTGTTATTGTTATAAAAATGCTACTTCATTAGATCTTGGTTGGATCATGAATTAAGTAGTGATATGCAGTAAAACTTGCAATTGTATTAGACTTGTCAGAGTGCATATGTTGTGAATCTGACTGGTGGCGGGTAGCACTCTGGGGAGCCACATGGCTTGGGGGAATGGGAGAACAGAGGCTTTCTGCTTATTTAGCACCGGTTGAAACCCAACTGAGGGTGGAAAGGATTAAATTTCAGTGCTGTCTGTAAACTGGCTGGTGCACTTAATAGCATGAGTTGCTGTGTCTCAGCCCAGCTCCAGGAAGACAGCTGTCTCCACCGCTGAAAGCACACAAGCTGACAGCACTGCCTGTCCCCTCGTTCACTGTTTTGGCAGAAAGGAGTAGGATCGAATTGTTCGGGGTGAGAAATGAGTGTCCTTCCTCCTCCTGGAAAAGTTTCTCCAGGGTCAGAGAAGAAAAGGCAGAAGAGTTTGAACATCTGCCTTTCATACTGCTGTTGCTGTTCTCTGCTTGAGCGGAGTAAAAATGCTGCAGCCAGATGCCACCACTGCCTGCTTTCCCCTTGTGGGGGGCAACCGCTTGTGCGTGTGTGGTGGGGCCAGGGCTGATGGAGTTTAAGGAAGCCGAGTCTCTGGGGAGCTCCTCATCTAGCTCCTGTCTGGATGAGTCACCCACAGATACCCTATACACTATATCTTTGGTAGGGCAGGGCTTAGACCAGGTGGGTACTAACACACATGCACACACGTGCATGCATACACACACACACGTCTCATCAGAGAGCACCGACCCCTGCCTCCCTGTCCCCCGTCATGTCTGCCCGCCTCTGAGGGCTGGAAGATCACTGAGGTGAGGATGACTGGTAGGAAAGTTAGTGAAATCTGTTTTTCTCAGAGGGCACCGTCACGTCAGCTTGCATTTCTTTGGCTACCAATAATATCTTTTTTCTGGTTCTTGCTGTTCAATCATTAACTTTGAGTGTTGCATTTGAAATTTGTGTTTGATAGAAAATTACAAGTGAAGTCACTTGAATCTTGAGCAACTGTAAGCCAGCTATTTTCAATGCATATCCAAAGCCATAAACTCTTGTGGTTTGTAGCCTCTTGGGTTGGTGAGTTTTGTGTTAAGTGTAAGGAAAACCTGGGCATATTGAATAAAAAAAAGAATTGTTACTATATAAAGGATGTTTATCTGTCAGGACTGGAACATCCTGTGGGAAAACATGTTTCCAGCCAGTTTTTCCTGAGAAAAGCTCAGCCTTTGCCAGTCCTTGCTGACTTCTCTTGAAATTGTTTGACTCTCAGTCCCTATGAAATCCTAAGCAGCCCTGAATCAGGCATCACAGACTCAGGTGCTTCTGACTCCCTCTGAAATATTTTTCTCATAATTCATAGAGAAGGAAGTCTAGATGGGAGACATTTATTATGATGGGGAAGATAGAAGTGATTTTTGAGGCCAACAAAGTTCAAAGACTTTGCTGTAAGTTTTCAGGATTAAAGATTTACTTGATGCATCTTCCCATATTTAATAGACAGGACTAGATGAAAGGGAATTTCTATAAAGATTTTCGTTCATACTTAATGATGCCGCTATTAGATGAGCTTTGGCACTGTGTCCCAAGACATGAAGTTTTAAAACCAACCTTTTATTAAACATTAAATGACCTTTTTCATCCGGTAGCTTTAATAAATAAAGATTAGTTCAGCCTCATTACCTAGTCTGTTCTGGGGGCTGGTTTAATATTTGGTGAAACTAACTAGTCTCCCAAAATGCAAGTGAACAAATTTTGCTGGTTTTCTATCACAAGCCCCTCAGGGAGGTAGGAAGCGGTAATGTAGTTTGATTAACGGCTGGGCTCTAGGAGTGCCACTGTCACCTCCATCCTGGGATTCAGGCTCTCCAGCTCTCTTCCTTTCTTTTCCAAGCCCTGCCACTTGCTGAGAGCACTTTCCCCTTCCTCATGTACTTGCTGCCAAGGTGGGCTGCAAAGTTCAAATTCAGTCAGGGCCGAGTAGGGAAAATGGTTTGTTGTTGGGTGGTTTGGGGTTTTTTTGTTTGTTTGTTGGTTTGTTTCAGTTTTTTCCCTCAGCTGTAGGGAAGTTTTCAAGATTTCCAAAAATAAGAATGGAAAATCCCATCCTGAATAGAGACAAAAAATCTTTGTGTAAACATTTGTGCCTAGGTGGCCTGAGGAAATTATTTGAAATGCTTTGGTTTTGGCTCTTTTATTTTTAAAATGTGTTTAACTATACATTAGTGGAAGTGACTTTTGTTTGAAAACTGAAAATTAAAGAATATATTTGAAAACATTGTCCAATTCAGTGATTTTTTTTTTTAAGCTTTAAATTAGAAAATAATGAATCTAAATTCTGATGTGCACCCCCCCCCCATCTTTAATTTTGCTGTGTCAGCACCTGGAACATAAACAGCATTTTGTGATGTTTATGAGGTTCATTACATTGCTTTACCATTTCTTGGAAACAGGGCCATGGGGAAGCGTTTACACACATCAGACGGTTTTGTGTATGAGGACTTTCTTCTCTGTCTGCTGCTGGTGGTTTCCTAGAGAAGTGGGGAGTCGAGCAAGCTGCTTCTTGTGGGGCACTTTAGTCTCCTAGCTTCTTTGTAATTAAAAGCAGTCACCAGCCATATCAATGTCTTAAAAAAACAGTGATCCATGCTCCTGGCCTTAGAGGAAAGCACAACCTTTTTTCTTGCATAATGAGATTAAGATTAACTGCTCTAGCTTTGCAGATAATGATGGTGCTTGTGTGTTAGCGGAGCAGAGGAGATGGTGTCGCCTGAAGGACTGGGAATGTTCGCCAAGACATCTGTGCATATTGTACAAGAAGTATTGCTGTGTGTTTCTTTATCAGTACTTAGTTCAGTTTAGCTCCCATAAAACTGGGAAAATGTAGGAAGAGAAGGTCTCGAGTGGGTATCATCAGGATACAAAGTAAATTGGGCTAGCGTGGGCCACCTTTGCTTCACCAGTGGATTTGGTATCTAGTTACCTTCCACAGCTGGGGTTAGGGCAGGACTGGGAAGCAGAGATGCTCTGCAGTTTTGTCATGAGAGAAGAGATCGCACTGGGATGAGCATAGCCAGGCTGAGAGAAGAGCCCTGAAATGCAATGCAAAGTTGGTTGTTGAAATTGGGCTACGCTTTGAGTTTTGGAGTTGGTTCAAAGCAAGTCTCAGGGGTAGAAAACCCAAAGTAAAAGGAGCCTGAACCAGAGACAGGTTTCTTCATTGGGCTGGGCTGCGTCGGAGGCTCCATGTGTTGGTGGCAATGAAGGGTGATCGGAGCCCGTGCACTGGGGGAGGAATGAGGACCTTCAAGGCACAAACCAGCCCTTGGAGGAACATGTTCGCAGTCCCACCTACAGCACAGCATCACTGTGCTTCTCTTAACAGTGGTACCAGTTAACTATGTCTTAAAAATGTATGTATCCTTGACCTCTGCTCCTAGCCCTTGCTCTTAGGGAGGCAGGATGCCTCCCATTTATAGCCAATGTGCTTTACTTCAGCTGCCAGCTGATTTATGTGTTTCACTCTGGTTTTCTCTATCTAAAAAAACCAAAACCTGCTGCAGCACAATGACACATTTCAAAGCTTCAACAAGGCACCTAGCTGCTGTAGTTAGCTCCCTATTTCCCTGACACACAAACCAGCAGTGCCCCACTAATCCCTTCTTTGCTAACCTACACGGTGTGGGGCCTGATTCAGCACTCAGCTGCGACTGTCTACACCTGAGCAGTTCTGAATGGCGTTGCTCCCTTTGGAGTGATTTTTGGGAAGGGAAGATAAGCATTGGTGCCTTTCTAATATACACAACAAAAACAGGGACTGGCCTTCCCCGGGTACAACTGAATAGCTACATTCTGGGAGGAGACCTCCTGTTAGCAAGCATAAACCCACTGGGGTGCAGAAGTTGTGCCAGCTCATAATGAAATGCTGTGATTAATGCTCGACTCCAATTTCTTTTTGCTTTCCATCAAAAAAATAAAAATAATACCCCACAATATCTCCCTCTGCCTAACACAGATTTGAGTGGGTAGGCCCAGGAGCTGAGTTCAAAAGTCAAGTGCTTTCTGTTTGAAAAATATTTGTCCCTTCCCACCCACGGCTGCCCACGTGCTTCCTGAAATATTCCAGCTATCAGCACCATACCAACACTTTCTCAAATGAACGAACTGAGCTATCTGGGGACGTTTTTCATCTTTTGGGATGGGAGGCAGTGCCCAGTTCCGGGCTGCTTGGGGCTGCGCAGCTGGATGTCCCTCTTTAGGTGCACCCAGGGTGAGCAGGCGGATGCTCACGCTGCAGTGGGTGCTGGGCACCGCCAGGACCCCAGCAGTGTAGGCAGCCACATCATGCTGCAGCTCACCGACAGGTAACGCAGAGGCTGCTGCAGAGATTTTACCGCCCACATGTCTGGCAGGACCTGGGAGGTGGGCGAAGCGGCAGGAAAGGCCGCGCATGGGAGGGAGGATGCACTAACAATAACAGTGGCGGGAGCAGAAGTGCCAACACGGTGGCTGCTTGCATGGCAGCGGAGATCCTGAAGGGGTGCTGGGAACAGGGTGAACGGGGAGGTGCACGGAGCTGAGCTGGGTCCCTGCCAAGCCTAACCGCTACCAACATCTTTACTCCCACAGCTGCCATCCTGGATGACCCCATGGAGTGCAGCAGAGGGGAGAGGCTCTCCATCACCCTGGCCAAGAACCGCATCAACCGCGCACCTGAGCGGGTGGGGAAAGCCAAAGTGGAGGTGGACATTTTTGAGCTCCTGCGAGACAGCGAGTATGAGACGGCAGAAACCAGTAAGTACCCCTCCATGTAGCTGGTCCTTCCCCAGTTCTTCTCTCTGCTGGCTTGGAGGAGGTGTCTGGCACACTGCACTTGCTGCAGAGAGTAATTGTGTGGTAGTCAAGGCAGGGTACACAAGGTAAAAAGCACCTGTCTGTTCCTCTATCGGCATTTGAAAGACCAACACATGCTAGCATGAAAGTGGGTCTCTGCAAAGCCTCAGGCCCACCCTGGCTGCCTGAGCGCAGTCAGGTTCGGTACAGGGGTTTGGTTCAATCTGGATGCAGGCGCAGCGTCCCCTCGGGATGTGCATGGGACCTTTAGCAGCACTCGCGCTGTGTTCAGCGCCAGCCGGCCGTTTGGAAGGATTGGCCCTGCATGGGTGCATCCACTGTGGGAGCACAGTGGCACACAAGGAGAGGTTAGACTCGGAGGGTGGGTGCTGAGACCAGTTTTCGTTTGAGGGTTTGGCATGGTGGTGTGAGGTGAGCCCTGGCATGGACCGAGAGGATCTGAGTCCCCAGTAAGCTTTGCCACCATTCAGTTCAGCGGCTTGGGACAAATTATTTTCTTTAATCTGTGTGTCAGTAAACAGAGGTAATGATGCAGGAGGTGATGCTCCTTTGTAAAGTACTTAATGGTGTACAAATAAGAGAATCTGGGCAAGTTCAGTGCAATTAAGTTATTTTTAAAACCCCATGGAATGCTGTGTGTCAGCAAACATGATACCTCTTCCAGTTCTTTAGATTGGCAGTGGATTTATTTACACAAAGTGAAGTTTTCAAGTGATGTTTAATATCATGTGGATTAAAAAGAGCTAATTTTCAAAGAGCAGTATACTTCCCATGTTGCTTTAAAGTCCCTTAATACAAACAGGTCTCTACTATAGTTGTTCCTCAAGATGCTCAACATGTCAGCTCCACGCTGATGAATAAAAAAAGAAATTGATGGTCAGTGTCCCACAGACCTCTCAGGAGCCCGAGTGAAAGAAACCAGAAAGATCTATAATAGTTTCTTCCTGTAAGAGGGAAAATTCTTTGGAATAGGATGCCTTCCCTTTAGAATAATTTTTAAGATGACCTTTAGAGTTCAAGGGAGGACTATAATTTTGTATTATAAGTTGGCTTGAAATAGCTGGAGAAATAATTCTAAATAGCAGGGATTTTGGACTCGTTTCCCAATGGTTCTCTGTTCCAAGCCTGTATAATCTGCAGAGGATCCCTAAAAGGTGTGGTAGTATGTTGTGGTCTAGAGCAGGCTGTTTTTTCACACAGCCTTGGTGTTTGTTCTGCGCAGCACTGAGCATCCATCCCTGTGCCTGGGAGGCCCCGTGGAGCTGCGTACACAGCACTGCTCAGGATCAGGTCTCTGGGTAACTGGCAGAATGGGCTCAATAGGCCTGCGAGATCAGCAGATTGCTCCTTCATTTCCTGAATTAGCGTTTGCATTATTTATAGAAGCGTTCAGTTAATAAAGTGCATTTCAGCAAGTACCTGTATGTCTATTTATAGAGCCTGTCACTCCCGAGACAGTCTAGATTAAGATCATCACGTGCATCATCACAGGGACTGTTTAAAACAGCAGTTCTCCACCTTTTTGGATCCCTCATCTCTTTTAACTTTTTCTTGGTCTTTCCCAGCTGTTGAGGATTGTGCACATCCTGCTTTACCCTCATTTGCCACAGCAATAGGGCAAATCCAGTCTCGCTGGCCAGGCCATGCAGAAGGGATGGGGACTGCCTGGGTTTCCAAGTACTTTCCCAGTTTGCCCCTGAAAGTATCCCAATCTCCCAGTGAGCCTCCTAGGAAATGAGAAAATTGCTTACTTGCCTGAGCCTTCTGTGTCTTCAAAAGGACCAGTAGCATTTTTAGTTCCATTCGTTTTCCTTTCTCATAAATTTTCTGCATGTAGTAGTGTTTCTGTTGTTTAACTTTTCTCGGGAAACAGGCTCGATTGCCAAGTGACCCCAGAGCTGCGGTAAAGATCGTGAGCGGGATTTCTTTCTCACTTGCACCCCTGTAACACTGCTCAGAAATTTTTCTGTTGGAACATTTTCAAGCAGAAGGATACTAATTTGCTGAGAATTAAGTATTATGCAAGGAATTGTTGATTTCAGCAAATGTGGTGTTTGGGGAGAACGTAGAAATGGGATAAGTGATGAAGAGGCAATCTTCCATTTTAAATTTTCACCTCAGGGGGATTTTCTTTGTTTTCTGTACTTTGACTTATAGAATGTAAAAAGTAGAAATCAGAGCAAACTGATTTGATTTTGGTGAAGTGAATATTCACGTATTTTTGCAATATGTTATTTGCCTTTTCTTCAGAGGGAAAAATGTCTTGAAGCATTTCTTACAAAAGGAAAAATCTGGATTCTGCATGGCTCTGCTATTAATGTCACTGAAGTTATTGTTGATTTATACTGGTAGCAGAGGAGAATCAGATCCTTTAACTTAGATTTCAAGGCTTTCATGGCTTTCAAATGTCTGACTTCTCAGCTTTAATACAGCACTGATATTTGTTGTCACACGTAATATTAATAAAAGCAGTTTAGATGCTTTAACCTATGACTGCAAAGCTGCTATACATCTGTTTAATACTGTTCTCAAATTTCACACCCTTTGAATCACTCTTAAATATCACAGCTAGCATGCTTAGCCGACTGATCCAGGAATGCTGTGATTATACCCCATCAGTGATATTCCACATACCATTAGTGCTTCAAGCGAAGAAAGGATTTTTGAGAGTTAGTTTTTATTTTAATGTTGAGCTATTTTTCTTTTTTTTTTCCTCCTGACTGACTTGGGCATCTTACTGTTAGGGGGCCACAAAATCACAATTGCTATAGCAGGTAAAATATGAGTCAGTCTTAATCACATTCATGCATGGTTTGCTATTTCAGCTTTATATATGAATGAAGACAAACATTGACTGTTCCTGTATGCGACATCTGTGAAGTCCTGTTTTGAAATGAGTTTGCAGTGAAAGGTTATGGATAGAGCTTTTTTTGCTGTTATAAGTAAAGCCTGTTCTCTCTTTGTGTTTGATGTTTCAACTCCTTTTATGGAGATCCAAAATGACTTGTTTAATCATGTCTTTATCTAAAACACCTTATTCCTTTTGATGTCCAGGGAGGGACAGATTTTCTGGTTGTCACCCTGTCCCCTGTTGTCTCATCAGTCTTTTAAGCACCTTTTTGTTGCTAATCCAAACATCTCAGGGCAGGTCAGTAGTCAGAATGAGCGAGCAACTGGAGAATTTTTAATTTTTATTTCTTCACACCAAAATTTCAAAGTGCCCAATACATCCTTTCAGTGACATTGACTCAAATGTGCTATTAACTGTCCCATCATTTTTGTGATCCTGTTGGATTTCACATTTAAACCTGCTCTGGTTGCGGGTTCCTGTTAAGAAGCATAAAGATGCTGCAGGGAGCAGTCTTGGAGCCATGGTGCAGGATGCACCCTCTGTAACACCGTCTGTTTGTGCACTTGGTGTTTTCTGTATAAGAATCCCGTCCTGACCAGTCCCTGTCATTCAAGATCTGATACGTTTTGCAATCATGGAAATGTTGAGGTAATTGCCTACCTTCCTTGCTCATTTATTTTCAATTAGAGGCAGGAATCTTCTTTGCATGTTATTTGAAACCCTTGTATCAGGTGTCTGTATGCAGTGAAAGAGATGCTGTGTTCTGCACCGTGGGTGGATGCTCTCACCAGAGTGTTCAGCCAGGCTTTGAACGGGGAGAGTTCATGGACGTGCTTGCCAAGTGCCCTGAGATCCCAGGAGGTGAAAGGTGCTATCTGACCATGACTAGGTGGATGTACATACATATATAATGTAAGAGCTACTCATTTGTTGTTGTGCTTCTTTGTGTTCAAATGATAAGTATATATTTCCATCTTCCTTTAAAACATACCTTGCTGTTTCCTGAGTGTCCAGACCTGTACTTAGTTCCCAAATATACTTGTGGGAACTTTCTTGCTTATATGGCAGGACAGACCTGCTAGTATGAAAGGAGGGTCACTGTTTTGCATTGCCCGTTGAATGCACACCTGAGCTTGCGTGAGGGCCATCTCCTAGCTCCGAGGGAGGGGGACGGGAGAGACTGACTCCACTCCTGCTTCTGGGCAAAGCCCGTACCTCTGCAGACAGAGTTACGGTAACAGGACATCTGAGCTGCGCAAACAGCAGAGGCAGAGAGGTCCACATACAAGTAGAAAGGCAGCATTCAGAAGTTCATGTCTCCAAGGAGATGCCCCCGAGTGATGGCAGGAGGGATCCTGTCCTGCCTAAACCAGTGAAGGGTATACCCTAGGATGTTTTGTTTTCAAAGACTTAGGTGTGTTAAGAGTGTTGTTAAGAAATTTATTTGCTAAGCCTGTTTCTTGTTTTTCTGTCCAACTGTCCTTAAGGATGTTAACTTAAAACAGCTGAATGCAGGTAGTCCGTAAAAATGTCTGGAGTAGGAGGTTTGGGATATCTCAGACCTTCAGATCACAGATGATCAGTAGAACCCACGTTCCATCTCACGATAAAGAGGATTTTAATGTAATGTCACTTTAATGTCCAGTATCTCTTGAGGTCCTGAATTATAAAAAAAACCAAAAATTGGACATGATCTTGGGCAGAGGTATCTGGGTCTACAGCAATCAAAAAGATGTCCTGCACCGCATATAGCTTACATGGTGCCCATATGTTGAAATATGAAGAGACCTGAGTGGCAGGGACTACGCCAGTATCTGTGGTTATACTCCATGCGGTTATCAGGGATGAATTTTTGGTACGGGGCTGACACTTCTACATCCCTGCAAGTGCTTGTCTGAATCCCCACTGCCCATGATGGGTAGCATGGTTTGAGCCTTTTCTCCCTGTGGAGACTAACAACATCAGGTAATGTTCTGAAATAGGAAATGTGTTTGGATTACAAGAGCAGCTTTCCAAACGTGGTCAAAGCCTTTGCCTCAGGCACCGCCACTCTGTTTCCATTCATTTTCCTTAATTTTCCTGGATGTTTCACCCTTGGAGTGATAAGCCAGGTCTTTTTCTTCTGACAGTTGTTGCAACTCTGTTGCTATGACTACTTAATCCACTTTTTGTTCTTGATGCCAGAGATGAGAAGTAAAGCCTCCCCAAACTTTCCCCTGCATGCACAACAAAGTTCCCCCCAGGACTTTCGCCCTAATGACCTGTGGATAAAGAGGACTTGGAGCAGCTCCTTCCTCCTAGAAGCTGAATTGCAGAGCACCCAAAGGGTCTGTTGTAGCTGAGAGGGACTGATGAGTGCCGCTGAGATAGCATGCAGGGTTTTCAAATTGCTGGTGCTCTTACTTAAAAGGATCTTCTGAAGAGGTGTAAGTGCCTGTAAATTTTTAAGCACAGAGGAGAAGCAAGTACTGGATTCCTTTGAAGATGCTGCAGAAAAATATCACTCGTTCTGTAGCAGATTGAGAAGGTGGAGGTTGAGAGAGAGCATGGAAGGAAGGAAAACCGAAGAGAAGATGTTTGCATATCATTGACACTTTCTGTGAGAAGTCAGAACAATCAGTATGTATGGGGACCTAGTAGTGTATGGAGTTTTTCCTTCAAGTAGCACTTGGAGAGAAGTAAAACCAATTCTCCGAAGTGACAAACTAAGTCCTCAGCTTTTGGCGTTGTATTCCAGTCATAAGGCTACGGAGACTTATGAGGTCTAAGGCCAGAGATGATCACCTTGATTAGACGATCTTACCTTCTGCAGAAAACGGACGGTAGTGGTTCACTTGCTGAACGCTATGCTCAGCCCCATAGCTCGCTGTTCTAAAAAACCCCCACGTGCAGTATAGGCTCTCATTTCATGCCCAATCTTGATTTAAAGACTTGAAGTTGATAGAAAACCTGCTCTGACCTGCAGTACAACAGTTTTGGTGATGAGTTCCCTTCACTGCAAAAACTATGTTCTGGTTTGAATTTTTCTAGCTCCTTTTCCCAGCCACTGAATCTAGATAACTTTTTACAACCATCACAAAAGCTCGTCTGACATGTAAGCCCAGGGACCTGCAGTGAGGATGGTGCTCTGAAACAGACCAGCCATTTGGTAGTGAAGAAGGCACTATCGTAAAAAATCTCAGCTTTGTGATACAGTGGTTTAGTTTTTATGTACGAAAATGCTGTGAGCTTGCTCTTGCCAGAACTGATAGGTAGTTGCGGTGCCTCCTTTCTCCCCTGTGGTATCCTTTTTCTTCAGAAAATAGTCACTTGATGCCAGTTGAGCAAATGGGGCTTTGTCTGGGGAGAAAGGAGCCAAGTGCGTGGTGATGCTGAGGCAGGTCGGGTATTTCAGAATAAGCTGTGGCCAGCACATGCTCAGATGAGCCTTTCGGAGTCCAGAGATTCAGATGCGAGAGGCTCTTACCTTCTGTTCACGAGGTTTTGCCTGAGCAAGCTGCTCTGGAGGAGCCTTTCTGAGCGACATGGTTGATTGGGATGGCAGCGGGGAGGTGACACCAGCTGGGGTAGTCCTTGGAGTGCCATTCAGCTAAATTTGTGCTGTGAATTAAAAGGACAAAAGGTTGCAGTTTAACCCGGGGAGCTCGAGGGAAGAGATTTAACTTCTTCATTTTGTCAGGGTCTTTTTATTGTTCTGCTAACCTTGGTGGCATGGAGCCAGAAGATTAACTACTGCAAGAAAAAAACCTAAATGAAAAACAGTAATACGATGCTTATTATTACCACTGAGCTCTGTAGAGAATGAGAGAAGAAATTCATACAAGTTTGTTTGCTGCTAGATGACGCTTTGAGGCTAGGTCACCACTGTGTTTAGCATCTCCCATAAACTTCAGTTAGTGTTTTCTCTTGGAGAATTGCAGATGGGGCCAAAAAGGGATTTGTAAGAGAGAGACCCCAGTTCTGAGTCAGAGATGAGGATATCAAGGCTTTGGGGAGAGTTCAGGTTGGATTTAGAAAGGCTGAGGAAAGACAGAGGAGGGTGTCACTGGCAGAGTAACAGTGCTTCAGAGGGAATAGAGGGATTTTGGGGGGACATAAATGGCAGGGAGTATGTTGTGTGAAGATGATACCATGTCCTTAGTAAGGTGCAGCAGGTACTGTAAGCACGACTGCTGGAAATTGAAGATGAAGTCTAATGCATGTTTCCTCTCTCTGGTGCCCACAGTGTGCCAGATTCTCCCAAAAGGAGTGGTAGGCGTCCTGGGACCTTCCTCAAGCCCAGCCTCGAGCTCTATTATCAGCAATATCTGTGGGGAGAAAGAGGTAAGTGGGAAAAGTTCTGTGTTGGAGTAAGTCTGTGCCCGGCAGCTGCCCAGGGCTGGGAGGGTAGTGCAGGAGCCCCAGCTCCTTCCTCCCAGTGTTTTGTGGTAGGCCTGGGGTGAGAGCGGAGTCACCCGCCGTGGGTAAGGGACACTGCAGAGATCCTGACCCATTGCCCAGCCTTCTGCCCTTCAAACCGAAGGTGCTCTCGGTGGGCTCTGATCACAGCTTCCCGCTGGCTGCTGCCTGGTGCCCAGAATCCCTGGGACCACAGCGTTTTGCTGGTGATTTTGTAAATAGGGATTAGGTTTCTAATTTACCACTATATCAAGCAGCAATGCCTTCTGCACAGATCCCATGCGGAGGGGCTTTCTGCAGCCTTGAAGGGTTTCATCTGAGACTCTCGCATCTATGCCAAGTCCCAGCCACAGCCGCACAGCTCGCTGCAGCTTCCAGCTCTGCCTTACGCTGCCTTCTCCCCGGCCTGGGTCTGCCCCTTGCAGTTCTCATTCAAGTCTGGTGCTCTGTTTCTCAGTCATCGTTTCTGTGTACGCACACCTCTCCGCCCAGCTACCCAAACCCTCTACAGCTGATGTCCGTGTGCCTCATTATCCTTGGTGTATTCTGTCCTCATGTCCCAGCCGCAAGGCAGAGCGGGCACGTTACCTCCATTAGACAGGGGCAGTGAGGTACCTGCCTATGGTACTCCAGGGCATCCTTGGCAAAGATGACTTGCTGTAGTCATCTTACCTGCTTTATTGTCCTTCCTGTGCTCCCCCATGTCTTCTAATGAGCAGAGTTGACAGCTTGGTTTATCGCCCCTTCTCCTAACGCACATACTCTTGCAGCTTCTTCCTTTTCCATTTCCTCTCTCTTTTGTGCCTACTTTGTCCTTGATTTCATCTGTATCACCTTTTACTTCAGCTTCCTTCACATGCAACACTGATGCGAACCATGTCCCTACTGACTGAGGGCTGCAAAAACCTCAGCTTGCCCTGGCAAACGCACATCCTGGCCAAAGTTTCTCGGTGTGAAGTGACTTTGTACACATACTTGGAAAGCTGCAACCCTTTCTGTTTGCTGCTGTTCCATCAATGCAAACCTTTTTTATCTGTGTCCAGACTATGTGCCTGATTTAATATTTTATAAGCCTTGAACCATCTTACCCTGATCTGGCTCTGCTCTCGGGGAAAAGCAATTGAGTTCTCTTCTCATAGTTTATCCCTTTAAAGCCAGATAACATCTCTCAGCCATTTAGTGGACTCTCTCTGCAGTCCAACCTCCAAGGAGGGGGGATGCCTGGAACTGAGCACTGTAAATAACTTGCATTCACAAATTCTTTGTTCCCTGAGAATCAGAAGTCTTGAAGAGGTGGAAGAGATCTTTTAGACCTAGTGCTCTGGGCTACAGAAGGATCGGTCTCTTGAGAGCATTTTGTAGTGCTTTCTCCAGTTAAATGTCCCAGACATGTGCTCCATCCCAGGCAAAGGCAACTCTGCGGTAACAGATTGCAAGTGTTTTTCCCCTGAAATTCATATTCAGTCTGAGTCTCTGATCTGAGTCTCTTCATTTTTTTTTCAGGAATGAAAGGTAAGTGTTAGTGTGCTGCTGAGGTATTTGATTCTCAAGCTTGATCTCAGCTGCCCTCCTAGTGATGTAAACCTGCAGTAACTCCCTGTGATTTATATCTCAGTAGCATCAGTTGGTGCTGCTGTGTTAAACATGATACAGCAACCCAGCCAGAGCCATTGTACTTGCAGCCATCCATCAGGTAAAGGAGAGTGTCCCCATTTTACCACTGAGGCACCAGATGGTGGAGTGACTGGCCCGATTCAGCTGTGGTAAAACTGGGGGATGAACCTGTGTCTCCTGCGTTACCCCTCTAGTGCCTTTAGCCCAAACATTTCCTTCCCTCCTGTCTGGGCAGGGGTGTTGCACTGGGGCAGAACTCTTGGAAAGGAGAGAAGGGCTCGGGGACTGAATGTGAGGTCTGAACCAGGGCCATGATCAGCTCTGGGCACTTGCAGGAGCTGCCATGGTGGTGGCTGCCTTCAGCTCTGTCTGCATCTCTCTCTTCTCTGGTAGCGGTTGTTGCTGCGAGTCTCAGACTCCATCTGGCTCCCAAGAGTGATCAACACGCTTGTACCGGAGCTGCCCTGTCTGCTCTGGTTAAAGGAATTTGCCTTTCACTTACAGTCTGCTTCTCTCCCTGTTAAAAGAGCCCGGGATGAGGGCTGCAGAGTGAAATCAAGGCAGATAGCAGCTTATTACTCTTTTAACTTTCCTATTGCTAACCAAACAGCTTATGCTGTCAATAAAGCAGCCATCAGAAGCTACTAATAGCCTTTCCCAAGAGGAGAGAGACGGGAGGCTTAGGATGATAGCTTCCGGAAGGACTAATAATGGAGGAAAAGAGGACTTGACACTCCTCTAATGAAGCCGAAGCAGATGTTTCCCTTTGTCTGTCTTCTGTTTCTCCCAAATAATTCACTCAGCAAAAGGAAAACAATATTCCTTCTCCATATTTGGCTGAATCCCCGGTGTCTGAGCTTGATCTGTCTGCCCACCCGTTCCCTCTCCACGAAACTGTGAGGTGTGAAGCAGAGCTGCCTCAGAGGGAGCCCTCGGGCTGTGCCCCCATGCAACCTCCCTGCTCCCCCTTCCTCGAATTCCCTGGGAAACGGCATCCCACTCCGCTGTATTAATGACAAGTGCAGCATTATTAGGACTCGTGGTTACAGTCCTGTTGGAGCTTGCCCGCCTTATGGCCACCTGTTACCTCTCCGCTGATCAAAAAAGCCCAAAGCTTCTGGCTGCTGCATCTGTTCCTCTCTCTCCTGAGCCCTGCCAGCGCAGGGTCATCTTGTTCTTCCCTTCATCTCTCCTAATTACCTGACAACATGCCGGTACTGCAGGCAGAGGTGGATTTGCAGCGCTTCATCCATCCAGCACACAGCAAAGGTCTGGGGGTCTCCAGCATGGGCTGTGTAACCCCCTGCCTGCCTGCAAAGCATCCTCCATATTTACCCAGGCAGCAAGCCCGAAATGAAGTGTGGGCCCAGCTACAATTAGTGCCCAAGCTAATTAGGTTGAACTCGTCCAGAATGGTTTCCTGTGCTGTAATCACAGCCCCCGTTGCCTTTCTCTGAGTGGCTCAGCAAGACTTTTCCTGATCCACTCCTTCCCGCGGCTTCTTGTTGCTGCAATAATTATTTTCCTCTGCTATTGCACAAATCCCACCCTCCTCTCTTCACTCTGGTGATGCTTCTGCAGTTTTATTGGGATATTTCACTTTCTGCCTGCTGTGCATTTTACACCAAAGGTCCTTTATGGTATATTTACTTGTTTTTATTTCTTTTTCCTCTTTAATTATGTTTTCTTTCCCCTCCTCCCCATTTAGGTTCCTCATTTCAAAGTGGCACCAGAGGAGTTCCTGAAGCTGCAGCTCCAGCGGTTCACCACCCTCAACCTCCACCCCAGCAACACCGATATCAGCGTGGCTGTGGCAGGAATCCTGAATTTCTTTAACTGCACCACTGCCTGCCTCATCTGTGCCAAAGCTGAATGTAAGTCATTGCCAGGCTGGGTTCGGCTGCCCCTCTGCTCCCAGTGCCTTCTGTTCTATCTCCTTCTGCGTGCTTGGTGCTTGTTGGAGAAGGTCCCACAGACAGCGTGAGAGCTGCCTCGCTGTTGCATCCCAGGGTGTTTGTCTCGTCTGGTTGCGGTGGCAGGGTCTCTTCTGTTGGCAGCAGGTGGGCACTCAGTCAGAGAAGCCCAAAACAGCGGAGACCTGAGGGGCAGGTTTTCCACCCTGTTGCCCCATGGAGGTGTTTGTGGTGTTTGTGAGAGGAGGAAAGGGGATGGGGAGAGACTTGCCTGCCTTCTGTTTGACAATCTGAAGAGTGTTTTGCTTGCACAGATGGGTTTTTGAAATGATAAAAAAAAAAAGGCTTAGTCTTGTTTCTGGAGATTATTTTAGGCAAGTAAAGCGTTTTGAAATATGTCTTTCCCAAACCCACGTGCAGTTTGTGGCCTAAAAGCAGGACTTGATTAATAGTCAATACACTGCACACCCTCTTGGGCTCTGCAGCCATACATCTGCTGGTAATTGTGCATCTGGATGCTGGAGCATTCACCTCAGCAAGACCACATCCATCTCTGCATAACTCTCCTAACATGGCAGGAGCAGGCTCTGCATCACAGTGGTTAGAGAGAGTATAGTGTGTCCTGTGCTTTTTTTAAGATCAGCATGTAGGTAGGTAGCTGGTGTGTAGTAGCCACACCAATTTGCTTTTATTGTCCTGGAGCCAGATTCCTTAGCACTGGAGTTTACCATACAAACAAGCCTAGAAGAGGGGCTTAAAAAGGGCACATGGATCCCTTGAGAGCTCTGGGGATACTGGCAAGAGCTTAGCAGTTTCTGACCGTGGGACCAGGTACAAAGGAAAGGCAGCATCCTTCTCAGCTAGCCCTGGGCAAACTTCACACCACCAGCTGTGCAGGTAATGCAGTGTTGTAGCAGACTCCTGCGTAGGGACAGAAGGCATAAGAGTGTCTTTGCCTTTTCTTTTTGCTTTATGCACACTGAGGAGGCCACATCCTCAGCTGATGTAAGTCAATAAATTGCCTTCAGTAAGCCTACTCAGATTTACCCCAGCAGAAGAGCTGACCCAAAATTATGCAACTAAAATCATGCAAATGATCTCCTACATTACTTCTAGTGCTGGAATTTTTCACCATCTAACCTTAACCTTAAGCAAAAAGGGGGGAAAAAATAAAAAAAGGAAGAAAATGTAATTGGGTTTTCTCACCTGCTGTGTAGCACTCTCACAGCTCTGTGTTCACGCTGCTGCCAGGCACAGAGCACACGTACACATCAGCACACCGCCGTGCACCCCTGCCCTTCTCCCCAGTTACGTGCCGAAACAGGGCAGGTGCCTGCCATTGAATGCAGCCTGTTATTAATATGATTCTTCATTTAACTGGATCAAAACCTTGGGAACCAAATAGCTCGCATTAAAATAACACCCTTTTAATTGAATCAATCCAGTTTATTTTACTGTGATATTCCTGGATAACTCAATATTTAGGATGTGCTGTGCAACCCAAGTCCTTCCCAGACCCAGGGAAGCAGTGGGATGGGTGACATTCATACATCTTGCTCTTTGTGCTCAGTAAGGACCTTATCTAAGCTAGACTTGAAGCACAACATGCTCTGGCTATAACGGAGTGCAGAAAATGCATAATCCAGCTTCATGTAGGAGCACATACCCTCATTTTCCCTTAGGACAAGCAGTGCTCCTAAGCACAATCCTTAAACAACTAACTCAAGGCACTTTGGGCTTTCAGAAGGTTCCCTGGAGGCAAATAAGGGGAACATATGAGCTGTCTGCTCATCAGTGAGGAAATGCTGGTTTGAGGGATGTTGTTATTTAGATCCCAGGAGGGAAAGTCATAGCTGTTTTGGTTTAAGTACAAGGCTGTATGATGGGACTCCTGGGTCCTATCCCGTCATGCTCATACTGCCACTGCAAGGAGTCACATCCTTCCTCTGGGGACCGGCAGTAATTTCTTCTGGCAGAAGCAGAAAATGACCCTCAAAGTCAATGAAGCAGGCCAGCCTAAGTGTAATGCAGTGGTGAATAGGATAATCTTATGTGACTCAGTTTCTCTGTGGTGTGGAATAATTAGCTAGTTTGCGAATTGCTCTGAAGCCCTAATGTGGAAGGCTTTGCATGATTCCACAGAAACCCTAACCCAAAAAGGCAACCGCAGACAAATACAGGGGTGCGTAGACTTCATAGGAGATACTCTGTAAGCTCTGATTGTCAGCGGGGAGGAAATAACACCCAGTGTTTAGGAAGGGAGACCAGGACACTGAGGTCGAAAAACTTGTGCACACCGTAGGGCCACAGAGAGACATTTGAAGCAATGTCGTTGGGTGTAAGAGCAAGGCTGGATGATGGGAATCACCATTTCTCTTCCCAGCCATCAGGGTCAAGGATTGCACAGGCACAAACCCACTGCAACCATTAACCGAACTGCTGGTCCCCTGGGCTTTAGTCAGCAGAGCTTGGAGAGAAGGAGATAGGCTCCTCTCCAGTAGCCTCACGGGCAAGAGCAATAAACAGAGATGTGGGACCCCGTGAAAGCCTCCAGGTCCTGCCTTTCCTGCTTCCCAGGGGCATTCCCTGGCCGTGGGCTGTAAGGTGTGCCAGGTACTCTGGAGGCAAGGCCGTATCTGCAGAGAGCCTGGGGGTGGGCTACTCCTGCCAGCTCCAAATGTTTGCATGAGAAAAGGAAAAATAAAATAAGGAAGGCCAGGACTTCCCACCGGCCAGCTCAAAGCGCTGACCTGCCTCAGTGGGTACCTATGGTCCTCACAGGACTGTTCAAACAGCGCATGCCTGATGCAGCCTCTCTGTGCACGGTGGTCCTCACTTTAGTACTTCAAAGTTGCCAGGAGGGGACTACAAGCCCTTGCTCATGTCAGCAGCAGCATCTCACATCCTCTCATCGTCAAACAAAGGGGAATCTCTTCAGATAATAGAGACTTCCCTCCACGCGGCAAGAGAAGCTGCAAGCAGGAGGCCTGATGAGGCTACAGGTAGGATCTAATGTGCTGAAAATGATATTTTCCTCGAGCCAGAGGAGGAGATCAAAAGCTTCCTTTTACCCCTGATCCCACTTTCTCCTCTCTGTGCCTGATGTGCTTTAGACACTTAGCAGCTGGGCTCTGCCTTCCTCACCACAGAGGCCAGGGCAGCTCTCTTACCTGGGCTCGTGCCGCGATGAGCTGTGGGCTGGAGGAGAAGGCGGCAGCAGAGGTCCTGCAGATGTAGTCAGCAAAGAGAAACATGAAGAGGAAGCTTGAGGGTCTGATGTGAATCACAAACCCGTAGCAGTTGGCAGAGAGATGCTCTCCAGTTTGCAAGATTAACTTACAGGTGAGATATACAACCTTCAGTGTTAAGGAACAGGATCTAATTTTATTTCTGGAGGAAATTAAATAGAAAACGTGCATTTCCAAAGAGGACGGCTGAAGATTTCCCTCCAGACACCCACGCCTTTCCGTGAATTTCTGTCCCCTTGGAAGTCACGTCATGGTGTAAATCTGGGCTTCTCCCACCAGCACACTGGTGTGCAGAGTAGTGGAGCTTTGCCTTTTCCTTCAGGTCTGTCCGGAGCCGAGCGCTGCGGCGCTGCGATCTCTGGCAGCACTCCGTACTGACTGCAGGGCAAGCACTCCCTGCTGCCAGCCCCTGCTTCACCGTGATGTATGCCTGGGAATGCTCTCCAAGGGCAGAAGTATTTGATGTTCAGTGATAGTCCTGGGGACTTCAGCAGTCAGCGGGTGGTGGGTCCTGGCATCAGTGGCCAGGTGTGCTGAGCCCTCACCACTGACTTCAGTTGGGTGCGGGTTTGGTAGTGAGTACTTGGGGAGCTGCATCTCGGGCTGCCTCCCCTCCTCTTAAACATCCACTTCTTACAGAGTATAGTGTTAAATGCCATGAAATGTAAATAATTGTGGAAAAAAAGGGTAAGCTCCCATGTCTCTTTATTTTTTTTATTGCAAGACTTTTTTAAAGTTAGTAAAGTGCTCTTAAAATCTTCCTGAGTTTTGCAGCAGCAGATTTTGCTGGGATGAGCTGTACGTAAACTTGGTATTCTCAGGACTGTTACTTGCAGCAACCTGTCTGGTCACTTGCAGATGTGAAAATAAACCTCACAAGGATCAAATGGAGGGCTTAGGTAAAATTGACTCTTCACTTCAGCTAGCACACAAAAAAGTATTCAGATGAGGTCTAGTCCATGTGTCCTGTACACAGAGTGAATTCACTGGCTAGTGAGAAAGAACAAGAAGCTGGTGTGATCCAGAGAAGTCCTGGCTACGACGGTTTTTGTAGTCCCTTGCTGAGTTCCTGCGTGTACTCAGAGAAAAGGTAAGAGGTAAATGCATTGTAAAGAGCTCAGTGCAAACTTAGCGTGCTGAAAAACTCTCGCTGTGAACGAGAGGCTCTTCATCTTGCATATATCCCTTTTAATGCACTGCTTTGTTATCTTGTGAAGTGCTGGGAGTCCTCGAAAGCAGCAAGCTCTAACGCTAATCACATCGCATTTTATTGCTTCCCCGGCCCCATAGCTTCTGGTGAATGAGTGGTTTCATGCAGTCAAAAGTACAGCTAGGTTAAGAGTAGAGCTCTGACTTAAGTATGGGTTTTCCCCCTCCACCAGCTGGGATGTGATTCTGCTGATAGTTCTGTTCTTTTCAGTTTCCTTCAGTTCAGCTTTCCCCCTTCTTTTTTGGATTGTCTTTCTGTAGGGATGGGATGTGTGACCATGCTAGCTGTCTGTGTCTTGCTAATGATTACATCTAGTGGTCCCTCTGGTCAATCAAACTTGACAGGAGGTTATTTCCTGATGAAATTCAGCACCTGGATAGAAGAGACAGACTCTATCAAATATGCTTTCTTGACTCAGAAAAGCTGCAGCAGAAGCTTTGATGTCTTATTAGGCATCAAGGAAGCTGTGTTGGAAGGAGCCCTTGCAATGACCTAGCTGCAGGAAGAAACTTCCGTCAGAAGTGCTGAAGGCAATAGGGCACAAGCCCAGGGAAGTTGGGACTCATCCATGTGGGTGCTCACTAATTATTACTACTTTTCTTCAGCTCCCATCTGAAGGGAGAGCCCGGTCCTGCAGACTGTGTGGGGGGTGCCAAGGTAACCAGAGTCCTGGCTCTTTCCTGTGGCAGATCGTGTCCAGATGCTGCCCGAGGAGACGGAGGGCTGTGCTGTGCTGGGGCGCTCGGGGGGCACAGGGGAGGCAGAAATGCGTTGGCAAGGCAGAAAGCAGGAGGAGGGCTTTGACATGGACGTGGAAGGTGGGTCTCCAGAGACCTTTCCCAGTGATGGAGCTACTGGACTACAAACACTATCCTACTTTACTCTCTGTTTCCTCCATAGAGTGCCAAATATGCTCGTTGGTTGATTTGTTTTATTACTGGCTTCTGTGTTGCTCTAGGAATCCCCAGTCCACAAGTAATCTGCGCTGTGCGAGGACCATACTCCCGATTTTTGTCACAGTTTTTTTTATGTAGACCTAATGTTTTATTTTTGCAGTGATCTCTGCTTTGTCTGACTCTCAGCAGAGCTTTCCATGCCCAGGGATGCATGCCCTTGGAAGAGAGCAGCTCCCCATCAGGGTGCTCCAAGATCTCTAAAGTGTATCAGGTTGTGCCTTGCAGGGCATTTACTTTGAGAGCTGGTAACGCAAAGGCTTAGGAGGAGGAATCATCCTCCAGCAACCAGCAATAACCAGAACAATCCTGCATATAGGAAGATAATGGAGAACTTGTCTGGACTCTGGAGTCCTAGGCAAATTTGTATCAGCAATATTGTCTCTTCCAAGAAGCCTTTAGGGCCACTTTTTGTCTGGAGAACAGCTGGAGTAGCTTCATCTTTTCCCATTCCCTGCTGGCCCAAGCAGCGAGTCTGCGCTGCAGCCCCAAATCCTTTCCTTTGCTGCACATAGACACAGAACTGCAGGACTGCTTCCTATGAGGGATGACTATGGGCTGTGGGAGAAGTGCTTTTTGAACCAAGCATAAAATTTATGAGTATCTGGGTTTTTTTCTCCCTTTTATTTGAAGGCCTTTTAAACCTAGAGAAGTTGCTTCGGCAATTCCTCATTTCCAAGGACACTCTCTCAGTCCGGATGCTAGATGACAGCCGGGATCCTACCCCTCTCCTAAAAGAGATTCGAGATGACAAAACAGCTACCATCATTGTACATGCCAATGCTTCCATGTCTCATACCATTTTGCAGAAGGTAAGTGTCTATTAAGTGTCACAGTTGTAAATGCTGCTGCTTCCACAGAACGAGGTACTGTGTGCAGTACATGAGCATGCACGTGCAGGTGTTGTACAATAATGGAGTGTAAAAATTCCTGCAGCAACACTGGAAATGGTCTCTGCCAAGAGGGGAATTGGCACTAATGGAGTTTCTGGGGAAAAGAATTTGCTCTCTCTTTCCAGAACTGTATCTGTAGGAGCAATGGTTTAATTGCTTGGAGCTGATGTGTTTGCTTTCTAGAAGTGATGTGTGCTTGTGACTCCTCTTGCCATCAAACAGCCGTGGAGGGCTGCTTAGCACTCTGAAACTAGTCAATCAGTGCAATAGTTTTTTCTTTTTTTCTCTAAGTACATTTCTAACTTTTTACTTCCTTTTTTTATTGTGTTATTAACCGAGATTTTATTTTAACCATGTTTATTTTTAAATGGTCTCTTGCTGCAGTTTTTAGCATTTGTTTTGATAGTCTACTTCAAAATTGAGCAGTGGCTCCAGATGGAGTCTAAAGTTGTGTAGAGTTTCCCACATCCTGGAAGGAACAAGAAGCATTTTCCTGAATGGAGGCAGAATCCAAGCAATGGGGTCCCCCTTGGCTGTTACACACGGTGTCCTGGCTGCAGTATCAGGGAATCAGTCATTCAAAGGCCTTGACTGTATCAGATTTATCTCTGATGACAGCCAGCAGAAACCATTAGGCCTGTTTTTATTATTCCCCACCCATGCCCCCCCCCAAGACTTTTATTCCACTACTTGCAATTTTGCATTTCTAAATAAGCAGGTTTGGGGGTTTTTTGGGTCCTCTCTATGCACGGTGGGGTTTTTTGTGTTTTTTTTTTTCTTTTTTTCTTCTTGGTCCCTGTTGCGTGCTGCCTGGCTGCTGAGGGCTGTCCCCCTCCTCTGTTGCTATAGTGACTTCCCACAGGCACACAGCAGCACTCTTCAGGCACCCGCAGTCTCCCTTCCTGGCTCTAGCATCCTTCTGCCATGACTGATAAAGATGTCAGAGATTGCCCCGATTTTTCAGCAGTTCAGTAAAACCTGATGTAGTCTCCCCAGCGAGAGGAATGGAAGGTAACAAATAATGAACTTCTGGTCTGGCAACGTCTTACATCTTGGGAAGCTGGAAAGTATTTTCTTTACAGAGGTGCAACCAGAGTAGAGAGTGAGGTTGTGGTGAGCAAGCGGGTACATCCTTGGCCCCTGCCCACAGGTCACCAAAAGCAAGAAAAACGGTTTGAAAGTGCCTCGTATCAGACCTGTCTCAGGAAACCAGTCCTGGCCTCGGACAATGAGAGAAATTGCATTTTCTCATCTCTTACCCTCCACATATGGTCTGGAGACACATGGTTGCTTCCTCGATTACCAGCCTGTCCCGGCTGCCCACCTGCCAGCGGGCACGTTAAATGGACGAGAGTGATGCTCACAGGAAGCGCTGTGTTGCTCGCTTTGATTTTCTGCCCTTGAAATCAAATGCACTGACTTCAAAGTGGGTCAGAGAGAGAGCTGACATTATCGCTGTCCCCAGGAAGGGAAAAGGGAGGGAAATGGGTGCCAGGTTTTATTGTGTAGGGGCTTAAAAATGAGGCAGCTGTCTGGAGAGCTGGCTGAAAAGCAGGTCAGCAGCCTCCTCCGGACTCGTGCTGCTCTTTTGGTCAAACGACTTTGCTGTGTCCATTTTGCCACCTGTGCAAGGGACAGGGTGACAATGTGCAACCAAAGGGCTGGACACAGCCAGACCTAAGCCACCGTCAGTCCTCTGTGGGCATCCAAAGCTTTCCCGGCTGCCCATGTCCACTCCCACTGCAATGGCGGTAGCCTCAGTTTTGGGCAGAAATAGGTAAAGGACAGGCAGGAATAGGGAGAGGTACAATCTAAACCACCTGTTCTCTGTACCTTTCCTTCACTAACTTTCTGTTGTCACCATCCTCCAGCTCCTGGGGGAGATGGAAAGGGACTAAAACTGCCTTTGGTGCTTTTCTCCCTACCTCCAGTTCCTCTGTGTGGTCTGGGGTGATGGGAAAACCTCTTTGCCAAGGTCCGGAAGCATGATTTGAGACCAGCTGTGCTTGGCAGTGAAACATAGGCTTTCAAGAGGATCTGCAGATTAATCCCCTGCTTTCCTGAGCATCTGTTCCCAACAACCAACTCCTTGTTTACTGAGCATTTTGGAAAAGGACTTCAATGACCTGATCTGAGATCTCTAGAACAGGTCACCCCATGGAAAAATCTGTGTCCTTCTCTCTGCATCGCCATATGTTTTTACCCTCTTTTTTCCTATTTCTGTGGCCATCGTAACTCTGTCTAAATTCTGGAGAACAGGCTGAGTTACTAGGTTTCATTCATGCTAATTAATTTGTGGGACTGAAGCCCAAATCTGACTGATACATGTGGGAAAACCACCACTGGGATGACTGTCCTTTTTCTGTAACTCCAGAAGAGCTTTTTCTGCCTTGCGCTCTGCATCATGGTGTTTGTGGTGAAAGGAGACAAGCCCTGAGCTCTCTCAACTGCTGCTTTCCCTCATTATGTTCAGAAAGATGTTGGTAGTTGAACAGCAGAATAGCAGCATCCATTTACAAAGCAGCAAACCTCAGCCAACCTTGCTTTCCTCCAAACACACAGTACACCCAAGGACCTCCTCGTTCCAAGGGGCTCTGGAGGCCTTGGGCTGGGGCTGCAGGACCCCACCTCACCTTGCCAGGGTCTGTACAGGCTGTTGCTGTTGGAGGTACAAAAGCTTTTACTTCCAATGGGGCGTCTTCCTTCCAGGTTGTCCTTGGCCGGATACACCCGCAGGATGGGGCCACATGCAGAAATCCTCAAATGTCATCTCACACCATGCTGCAGAGGGAGCAGGGATGGTCACAGGGGTCTGGAGCTGCGGCTCATGCGGTGTTGGGTGGTTTCTCTCTGCCAGGCAGCCCCTGTGCAGGTGCTTTGTCAGTTATGTTGCGGAGAGGAGACCTCAGAGGTAGGCTTAGCCCTCCTGAAAAATTGGTTCCCCAGACTTTAATTTCACAGGTCAAATTGTGTTGCTGTGTCCCACCCTTCCCTGCCTGCAGGAAGACAGCAGTGCTTGCATGGAGCGATAAGGATGAAAAAGCAAATGTGGCCCCGTCTCTGCCTTGCCAGAGTCAAGATTGAAGATTGTCAGGCTCTGGTCTAATCTCCTTTCCTCTCCTTCACAGGCAGCTGAACTGGGAATGGCGTCTGCCTATTACACGTATATCTTCACTAATCTGGTAAGACGTTTTTCTCGGCTTTTCTCCCATATGCGTGTAGAGTCATGTTAATGGGAGCTGATCTCCCCAGCCCATGGGAGTGTTGGGAAGAACCACGTGCTTGGAAAGTGAGGGATTTGTGGAGGAGGGGGAGGGAGGTGAGGAGGGGTGTACCCCTGCAAACCTGAGCATCATCAGTCAGGGAAAGTCTTGCCCTGGCCTTTGGGAGGTGAAAGCCGATGGGTGCCTGGCAGCACCGATCGATCCCGTGCAGCTGGTAAAGGCAGGATTTGTAGATGTTGTGGCTGGAGCTGGTGCAATGAGATGTGTGGGTCCTTGGGAAGCACCAGCAGATGGGTGGTTCCTGGCCAAGGCCTTAGGAGGGTTACTCTGAAGGTGTCAGCCCCCAGTCCCATTCCCTGTGCTGGGGTGTGCGTGTGGAGGGCACCACGGCCCCGTGCTTTTCTGCTGTGCCTCTGAGAGCGGCTGTCTGAGACAAAGGAAGGATGATACCGTAAATGTTGAGAGGCAGAGCCGGGTATATCTTCAGCATGGCCCCCAGTGATTTGGCTTTATAGCTACTAATAACATTAATGGGGGGATCGTGTGGTTAAATCCCCGAGTACTGTGCTAAACAAGGAGTAATGGGTTTAGGCAGCAGCAGAGGGAAACCCAAAATAAACATCAGAGAAGCTTCTCTTGCTGCAGCGGCTACAAGGCTCTTGAACAGGCTGCCAAGTGGTATGGGGGAAATTCTACCACCAGAGAGACCAGATACCTATTAATGCTGGTGCGGGGATGATGGAAACCTGAGTGCGGCAGGATGGGCTGGATGATTAAGTGGAGGTGCCTTCCAACCCCAAATGATACTCATATTCTCTAATTTCTATTAATATTTATGCCAGGGTGTACGTGTGCCAGGAAAGCCGAGAGCTGAATCACGCTTTGTGTTTGGGTGGGAGACAGACGGGAACGGATGGAGCCAAATGTGTGGGCAGGAGAACTGGAGTGGAGAGGAGGAGGGGGAAGGACTGAAATGGAGGGGGTGAAAGCCAAGAGAGCAATTGGGACAGAGATCAGAAAAGGGATAGGGAAAGGAGATGTCGTAAAAGAGGAAAATGCAAAAAAACAGAAAAAGCCACAAGCTTCCTACCTGAACGTATAGCATTCTGATTCCTGCTTGGTGCTCGATCCGTTTGCTCAATATCAGTCCAGCAAGAACAAGCTTCGCTGCTCCTGATTAACTCCATGCAAATGATTACCACTGGGCGGGAAAGCAAAAGGAAGGGATGTACCTGGAGGGGTTCAGCCAGTGATGGAGACTAGGGGAAGAGCTACCCCCGCGGAAAGTGAAGATCATTTGTTTTAAGGCAGTGGCTGCTGCTTTGTGATTTCTCACCCCCAGTGCCAGCCCCGAGTCAGAACGTAGCTGTGCTGGTGCTGCTGGTAGAGCTGGTAAGGGACGGTGGCTGTCCCCATCAGATCCTACTCACAACGCTAAACCACTCCAGTTTTTTCCAGTCCCAGCAAGTAGTTTTTCCGTTGCCCTCTGGTCCCAACAGCTATTTCTTCTTCCACTTGCCCTCCCCAGTCCCAGCAGTCGCGATGCACCATGCGGACTGGGACTATTCATATAGTAAGAGATTCCTATTTGCACATCACCAGCGCAGTGGAGTCTGTGTTCATAGATGGTGCTGGGACAACAGAAATAATTATAAAAATTAAGCTCGCCACCACCACACTAGTTTTGAGCATGAAACTTGTCCTTGAAACCCTTTCATCTAGTGTAATGCAGTTAAGGCAGGTGAGAAAGAAATTAGTTTTGTTGCCATTCACTCTCACAGGATAGTAATCTATTTACCCATGTTATTCTACCATTTTGTTCAAAAGACCAGCCCTCAGCAGAACTAACTGGATTTTTGGCAGGGACCGTTAAAGAAAGGTGACATCGGGCAAAACCTGGGCAGATGGAAGAGATGTTTAAGGAAATTAGTAATATTTAAATGGGGATGAGAGATGGGAGTGAGCAATTTAGACTAATAAATCTGGAGGGATTATCAAGCTCCTAATGAACCCTCTGAGGTTTTGCAATCACTGCCTAATAGAAAAGATAAAATCATAGTGAACTGCTGTCAGAGGGAGCAAGCAAAAAGATGGCTTTAAATGGAGGGAGAACCTATCAGAAATGAAATAGACTGCATAGCATTAAGCTGCCTGGAGATGGAAAAGTATTTCAGGCAAAAAAAGAAGAGAAAAGGGGATAAAATGCTGAATTAAACACCTGCCCTGCGGCACTAGAGGGGAATTCTGTTTCTGTCTTCTAGCATTAATTTTATTTAATAAGCACATCCCAGCCGACAGCTAGTTGTGTGTCGCAGCTCTTCTCCCTGCAGAGCGTTAGATGGAGGTAAGTTGCTGCAACTCCCCTGATGCCCGTCCATGGGAGAGCGATTCGGCGATGACGGCTCCTCCGTAGCTGGCCTGATGACTGCAGATAGCGTCAGCGTTGCTCTCCCCGCCGTTCAACGGGGAGGCAGAGCAACGTGTGAAAGCAGATGCCAGCCTTTGGCAGGAGATCGCAGGAGCAAATGAGGAGGAAGCCCTCAGCCCCCAATGCATTTCCATCGGAGCCGAGGCGAGCAGCCTGATGTAAAAATATCCACAGGCTAATTTACTGCGTGTGAATTCATTATCAACCTTCTTCAGCCAGCTCAAGGGACCCTTTTTGTCAGCAACAGAAGCTCAACAAATTTTCCAAGAGTCCTAATGAAACTTGCAGAACAGAGCAGGTCTGTCGCATTTTTCTTCCTCACATCCATCATCTATGTATAGGGTACTCATGGCAACTGAGCACCCTTCTGTCCTCAGTCCTCTTGCAGAAAATCTCAATCTGACCCAAGTTTCTTCCTGACAGCTCCACACGGTGACAAGCTCCCTGGCTCTGGGACTTACCCTTCTGGGAGGGCTGAAAATTCCCAATGATTAATGGGAAATGCTGACCCAGTGGCCAGCTGTTCCCTGTGCCTTGGTTTGTGTGGTGCTGACGTGAGCTCAGAGCTGCTCATCAGCAGCTCTGCCCCGGCAGGGCACAGGGGTTCTGTGTATCCACACAGCTAATGACCGTGTAAGAGGGTGATGGTGTGCTCCATAATAATAATAGTAGTAATAATAATAATGCCAGTGCATAAATAGAGCATTGCAAGCAGGCTGTTATGCATTGAAAAAAGTGTTCCTCCTAGCACTGGAAATCCTTGAAATCGGCAGCACAGAGCACCAGGGGTGTTGGATGCTTCCTAAATCCCGTGCTACAATTAATTCTTTTAGCTTGTTAATTCTGTGTATCTTGTTGGGTTTGTCTTCTTTTTTTTCCCCCTCTCTCTCTTTTTTTTTTTTTTTTTAATATAACGTATGGACCACAGGCTGGCTTTAAATTTAAAAACATTTATCAAGGAGATTAGATGGAAATAATTGAAACAATTTAAATTATTACTGTAGGAAGGAAGGTGTAAAGGAGTTTTACTAGTGCCTTGATTCAGATGGTCTATTCATTGGATGCAGTTTTGTTCCCCGAGAATATTGTGTGCAGGTGTTGTTGCTGATAAAACAGCTGCCGTATTCAATTTCCAGAGACCAGGTAAATCAGTTTTGGTTTGGTTTTTTGTTTCCTGTTTTTTTCTTCTTTGTTTAGTGATTTATAAAGAGGTTGGTCTTCATATAGGATGAGGTTTTCAAAGCTGAATTAACGCTCTGGATGCTCCATTGGAACTGGAGGGGAAATTAGTGTCCAAATCACCCAGACAACATCACACGTTTCAGCAGTAGCTTGTCATTATGATTACGCCCGTTGGAAGGAGGGAATGATGTAAAGTAAAGCAGAGGGAAAGTGGACTACAGCTTAGTATTTGACTGTGGGGCTGCGGAGCTTAGGTTTTTAGTCCTGCTTTGTGAAATTACCCTCTCTTGGAGAAAGGATCTTCTCTTTCTGTGCCTGGTTCTGCAGCGTGAGCTCCAGCACGGGCTGCGGTGTTTGGCCTTGCTGCACCAGTTCTGCTGGCCGCAAGCACCCTTGCTCCCCCTTGCACAAGTGAAGAAGGCAGACTCTCTTGTTACGCTTTGACAAATTTTACCTTGCAGTCCAGCCAGCCTTCCTGATTCCCAGTAGCTGATGCAAACCTTTTTGTAGAGCCCTGATCATTCCCTGGATTTATGGTTCATATTTTCAGTGGCATGTGGTAGCAGGGCAAACAAATCAGGTTTTTGCAAGGATGCCAAAGCAATTTCTCCTCATTCTAGTTAGCGTAAGAAAAGGAGGATTTAGACGAAGCAATAACTGTACCTCCCTGCGTTTTGCTGCCTGTGCTACCTTACCTGTCTGGGTCTTCTTTATGCATTGTTCAGTCCATCCTGTCCTTGATTTGCAGTTGTTAAGTAAATCATTCTCTTGGGCACAGCCCAGGCCCTCTGATGTGAGAGCAAACCTCTCTTTTCCTCTGCCCTCATGCTGTCTTGTCTTATTTGTCTTTCAGAATTTCTACCCCTTGTTTTCCAAGAGCTGTTCCTTTCAGGTCCCAACATTAGCACTTGACCTCTTTGCTCTTTGTGGATTTGTCACTCTTCAAAACAGGCTCCCTGCAGAGAAGTTGAAGTAAATTACTTTCAGCAAAGATGTGGGCAATGTATTTTCCTAAAGTGCTCTCATTTGAAGAGCAGCCTCCAAAATTTAACAGTTCTCCTGGCATGAGGCAGATAGAAGACCCTTCCTTACTAGCATATGGCACACTGATGCTTTTGTGACGTGTCAACTTTGTAAGAGCAACCAGATTGTATACGGGCAGTTCCCTTAAATTGTCCCCGAGTTCATTGAGATAACAGTTCCTCTCTAACTACCCGAACGGCCAAACAACAGAGCCTTGGGTAAATCTCCCGCATCTGCTCACCTACTCAAAAGGCCACAATTTGTTGCTGTGATGACTTTTTTTTCGTCCAGAGAAATTGATTTTTACATGTGGCCCATTATAAAG